TCCTTTTTGGCAACCTTCCTTCCTTCTCCAGCTTGTCCTTCCCTGTGCTCTGGCTGCCAGGGGTGCCCGTTGTTGCCTTGCAGGGGTACCAGGAACAGGGGATCCTCTTTGGGTACCGCCCCCCCAGCAGCTCAGCAGCCGATTGCCTCCTCAGCGTCTTCCAGATGACCAACGAGACCCTCAACATCTGGACCCATTTTGTGCCCGCCTGGTAGGTACCCTCCTCTGGGTCTTCATCATCCGTGGGAGGAGGAGGAGGAGGTGGTGGGTCTCTGTGGTGGCAGCGAGGACCTGGGGGGGCACCCGAGGGGGTGATGTTGACCTTCCTCCACCCCACAGGTACTTCGTGTGGACCTTGGTGGGGCGGCTGCGGGGCCCGGGGGGCCCTGAGGACCCCAACTCCTGGCCCCTCCTCGCCTACCTGCTGACCTGCTGCATCTACCCCCTGGCCTCCAGCTGTGCCCACACCTTCAGCACCATGTCCACCCGCGCCCGCCACATCTGCTACTTCTTTGACTACGCAGCTCTCAGCATGTACAGCCTGGGTGAGGCTGGGCAGAGGGTTTGGGGGGTGCAGGGCTGGACCTGGGCTGCTCAGACAGCTCATACCCCGAGGATGGGAAGAGGTGGGGGCTGCTTGTGGGTAGTTTCCACCCCTTTTCCTTCTCCACCCCACAGCCTGGTGCTTGGAGCGTCTCTGAGACCATCACAACTCATAATCTGGGGCTGGGTTTTGTCCCAGGCAGCCCTGGGGTGGGGGCCTGGCTGTGGGACACACTCTGCTCTTTGGGCTAAATAGAGAAAAGAAAAAACCTCACATTAAAGACACAGGCTGCTGAGGTGTGAGCCCAGGGTGAGGAGGAGCAGCAGCTGGCACACGGTGTCTCTAGCTCCTCCAGAAAGGTGTCTGAGCTCCAGGAAGGAGCTGGCAACTGGCACGTCTGCCTGAGGGAGAGAAGAAGCTCAGGGGACACCTACTGGGTCTCCACAGCTCCATGAGAGGAGGCTGGAGCCAGGTGGGGGTCAGGCTCTGCTCCCAAGGGACAAGGGACAGGACAAGAAGAAAGGGCCTCAGGTTGTGCCAAGGAGGTTTAGGTTGAATATTAGGAAGAATTTGTTCCCCTGGAGGGGTGCCCAGGGCGGTGCCAGGCGGCCCAGGGCAGTGGTGGAGTCCCCACCCCTGGAGGGGTTTCCAAGCCGTGGAGATGTGGTGTGAGGGACACGGGGCAGTGGGGACCTGGCAGTGCTGGGGCAACAGTTGGACTCAATGATCCTAAAGGTCTCTCCAACCCACACAACTCTGTGGTTCTCTGCTCCCCATAGCTGCTCCTCTACCATACTCCCCATCTCCCTTCCCTGACGCCACCAAGCACCAACTCAAAGGTTCCCATCTCCAGTGGGGATGGTGCTGAGGGTGCTGGTGGGACCTGGCCCTCACCAGGCACCTCCTGTCCTGGCAGGCTCTGCCCTGGCATACTCAGCCTACATTTTCCCCCCCGAGTGGCTCCACAGCACCTTCCACCACTGCTACGTGCCCGTCGCCGTGCTGAACACGGCCGTCAGCACCAGCCTCTCCTGCTACTCCAGGTAAGCTGCTGCTCCCCCTGGTTCCAACAGCATCATCTCTAATTAGCGTTAATGACAGAGCTCCTCAATTACAGGCTTTGCTGTCACAATAGGAGTTTTAATTGCAGGAAGGGCAAGAAGAGGAGTCTGGATTTGGGAGACGTTGCGTGGTGGCACTAGGGGAGTTTGATGATCAAAAGCATCAGACAAAAGGAGTGACTTGAATTTTTGAAGGTTCAGAAGGTCATTTCAGAGGGTGTGGGGCTGGCAGGATGACACCCAGGTCCAGCTGCTGTTTTCCTAAGAGAACCTACAAAAAAGGGTGGGCTCCTGTGCCCCCAACATTTAAGCATCTGTTTAGGTTTAAATGTGAGCCTGGTCCTGCCTAAAGGGAAATCTGTGGGTGTGGGGGTGTGTTCACAGGGACTGGGCACTGGGGAGGCTGCCCCTCAAGTCCTGGGGTACGTTTCACGC